TCGGATCCACTGTTTAGACCGTGCTTCATTATGTCATTATATTACTGGCAAATGAACTTGGTGATTAGATGTGGTAGTCTTAGATCATGTTTACAGTTCTGGGTAGTTGTTTCCCTTGTATTGTCGTGTTTGAATTATGGAATGTTTGTATGATTTCCAGTCAATGATATTAGTGCAACACCAGATTTGAGTTTAAACACTGATTTGTCACGTTTAAGTATAATTGAGAATATGGGACGTGGTGTGCTGATACAGTGATGATATACACGTCTCGTTCGTATGATTGAATTTGATTATATAATTTTTTCTGAGGTCAGCACAGATATTTGATCCTTGACAATAGAACATTCTCATTTTTAGAGAGTGCCCATTTGTTCCTTTGTCAAGGAGTAAATGCATGTTCACTCTTTTGATATGATCGTGCTGTGTTTGGGGTTGATTCGATCATTCAAGTCTGTTTGGTGTAATATTGGTTTTAATGAATGTGAAAAGAAATGCAGCGCTTTGGAATTAAAAGTTGTTGAATTTGTGATGAAAAAAACATGACAGTAATTTTTGGATGACAGTTGTGATTACATGCGTTCTATTTTACGAATTCAACTTGCAAGTACCAGAAACAGGGATAGTTGTATGATGGTAAATTATAATGGTATGAAAAATTTCCATTGTTAGCATAATGGTTCTTATTGTCATAAATTTGAAGCCAAATTAATTATGTGTTTGGATGTACAGTAGGTGCTGAATCTGTGATGAAAATAATTAGAGTTCAGTGGAGCTACATTTTTTGTGATTTTATATTGCTTCAGTTTCCAATGTTATTTTCATTACAGAGATAACATTGGTTCATCGTATTTTAGGATAGATTGCAGCCTATTGAAACCCAAATTAAAACCAATTCTGCTCAAGGAATAATTGAATCGGACACAAATCTTTTGAATCGAGGTAGAGGCCAGGTGTGAATCTGTAATGAAGAAAAAAGCTGACCGTAAATTTTGGATGACAGCTATGATTGCCTGTTTTAATTTCTGTCCAATACATTGATGTCTATTATTTGAAAGTGATTTTACAATAGATTCATGTTCAACATTTAATGTCAAGTAAATAGTTGAGGATGAAGAGGGCACTTGTACAAGAAGTCAGTAGTCTCGCTGTGGATTTATGAATACCTAGCTAAAAGGATTGTGAGATGTCTGGAGATTCAGTATTACATCCAATGAATTGAGTGAAATGAACAGAGTTGTTTCCCCTTGTATTGTCATGTTTGAAACAACACCAGGTTTTGCGACGTGTAGTGCTGATACAGTGATGAAATACATTTCTCGTAAATATGAATTAATTTGATTTCACAACTTTTATCTATTATACACTGGTATGCTGTGTTGCTTGTGCAGAGTTAATGTAATGTTGATGTGATGTCATAATTATTATAACTGGGGAATCCCTCATTGCAACCCTAGGGTATCTCGCACCATGAAAAGTGTGGATACACCTGTCCAGGGTAAAGGAAATGGTGGCTAAGAAATGTTTTAAAGCAATGAATGTATGTGTTGAATCTGTGATGGCTTAAGTTTTAATTTCTGAGTTCTGCACCTAAGTGTCTGATTAATAGTTGAAATTGTGAAAAGTGGTTTTTTTTTGTGTTTTTTTTAATTTCATTTTGAAGAGTTGGTATCCATTTAAACAGTTAATGTTGTGAATGAAGGGGAACGTTTACTGTTCAGTGTCAGCTGAAACTGAAGTGTTGGGTATGTTGTTTTCATTAGGAAGTATGCACAAGTACAATTTACCTGTACTTGAGACATGACCAAAGCCCTAATTCTTCAATATTTCTGGTTATAATCGGTCTAAAATCTAAAATACAAGTCATGTATAGTGAATGTAAAATGTTGTGTTGAATCTATGATGAACAAAAACATGACAGTCAAATTTTATATGATGTCTGTGATTACGTATGTTTTAATTTCTGAGTTCAACACATTTGTGTCTAATAAACAGTTACTGATGTGAATGAAGAAGAAAGTTTATTGTTCAGGGTCAGCTTAAAACTGTTAATTGTTAAATATTGTTAAAATTATCCATAACAGTGAGAAATCATATATCTGTATTTAAACTAGGTGTTGAATCCATGCTGAAAAACCCCAGTTCAACACATTGGTGTCTTAATATTTGAAGTTGTGAATATTGAGGATTTAGGGTCATTTATGTTACTTTTTGTGTCGGCGACATCTAGGTATTACTTTGTTGGCGGTGGCGGTTGTGATAACTTAAGTTCCCTCGGGTTGATTGAACCCAAAGTTGGTACACATATTGCATATCAATGTAGCTGTACAAGTTCGCATTTCAGAAGCATTTTTGGTGGAGTTATGCCCCTTTTATTGACAAATAAGGGCATTGTGTAGAAGATGCAAGAACTTTTTGTATTTTTTAATCAATTCCTTTCAAATTGTGTACGGTAATGCTAGAAGCAATCATGTTCAATATATATTACAGGTTTTTCAGTCGAGTTTCAACTTTCTGCGTTTTGGCATATCTGTTTACCCGATAACTCAAGCCAAAACACTTTTCTTACTAAAAGCACTGAGCAGGCGACGCATCCACTCCCGTGGAATTCTTGTTTTTCAACTTGAAGATAATCCATTCTGGTGAGATTTTGTGTATATCTGTGAAGTTGTAAAACTGTGGCGAAGGTGATGAAGAAAAACTTGATTGTATTTTGAATGACAGCTGTGATTATCTGTTGTTTTGGATGCAGCTGCTAAATCTATGATGAAGTAAACATTGAATCTCGTTAACATGATTGAATTTCGTTATTGATTGCAGACTCTGAGTTAATGTGCTGGATATATATACTAGTATTTTTACATTATTATTCTTCATAGTTAAAAAACTCTATTAAACATAATGGCCTTAAGATTTGAGTTGATGTATGGATAAGATGCTCTTGGCAGTAGCTGACACGATGATGAAACAAATTGTCTCGTTCGTATGATTGATTTTGATTTCTCAATTTTTTCTGAGGTCAGTATGGAATGCCAAAGTGACCAAACATTGAAAGGGTACTATGTGACTAGGAAAGATTAGTAGGGTTATGTGATATCTGTGTCGGATGACTAGGGATGGAAGGAAATGTAGTTTTACATGATGATGGAATATCATAAATACTTAATTGAATTAAGTTGTGAAAGTAAATGAAGAATGGGTACTGTAAGGTTACTAGGTAATTAGCATCCCCCTTTTCAAAGCACACATTCAGGGATAATCCATGAGGGGGCCCTAGGGCCATTGACCCCCTCATACCTGAAATTAACCCCTCCTATTCCAATTTTCTTTAATTTTACATAGAATGGCACCTCTTAATTTTGATATTGACTAAAAATTGCTGAAATGGTCCGCTGCTCTCAAATTGCAAGATTTTCCCTGCAGATTATACAATGTTATCTTTTGTTTAACTCAAATAATTTTTCACCCTTTAAATATTGATGTACATGTAGATTTCTAAGTTACAGAGCAAATTTGTTTCAAAATGTTGCTTGTTTTTAGATAAGGAAATAGCTACCTGCAGACAGTTGTAAATGGGGGATATATCGACCAGTAAAAGGTTAACTCCACTTGTATTTAGCCTGTTAACTTTGAACCATGTTACTTTAAGGCCACATTTGAAATATTTTTCTCCTCTTCTGACCTTGATTTGGTCTATTTTTTGGGTAGGTTAAGTAGAACTTCATTCTTAGGTGTATTTTACTTGTACGATAATGACAGAGTATTTGATGTAAAACTAGACAAACCATAGTTACTGATGAAAAGAAGATCATGTTTGAAATAGAAATTGCTTGTATTTGTATTTGTTTAGAGAATGTAAACCAAGTGTTGAAACAATGATGAAGAAAACATGACAGTCGAATTTGGATGACCACCCTGATTACTTAAAGTTTTAATTTCTGAGTTTAACACTGAAAACTTGCTAAATTGATTGGTTTACACCTGGTAGGGACAGTGATGGAATGCATTAGAAATACTTATAATGTTACGTCACAGTTCAGAAGATTTTCCATTTGTAACTTCAACATCAACAGTCAATCCTTAGGTGCTGTACAGTTTGATTTTAAGCCGGACTTGTAGATTTCAACATCGAGATCCTGGATACAGGTGCTATATATCTATATTGGGTTTTAACATTGTGTGTGGGGGAGGGGGAACATAAATGTAACAATCATCTCAAGTATGACTTTTTTGCGTCCTTAAACAGAAATATTTATGTAAAGACCTGGGTCGCCAATACCAGGTAGGAATTTTTGTCATGCACCAGCAAATCTGCTTGATAGAAAATGTGAAGGTTCTCTTGGTGAAACATGACTATCGCAGAGAAACGGCATTGCACAAATACGCACTTGCATAGATGAGTGATATTTCAAGCTTTCACCTGGCTTCATTTGGCAGGATAACCGCAAGATATTAAAATGTTGTGTTATAAAATTGAAATTTTGATACTATATGTGAAAATCCCTAACGCTTTTAAACATTCCGCTTATTGCTTGCAGAGTAAGAAGTTCCGATATGTACAAATGTGACAGCATTGTGACCATGATGTAGTAAAATTATCAGTAAATCTATGATTGCATTATTAATTGAAATGATGATTATGATTTCAACTTAAAACTTTAAGAGAAATTGCAGAACTTACTTTTGGCCATTCTGTGACTTGCAGAGCAGTGGCAGAATTTAATTTCTGAATACAACATGTGACTTCTCTATCAGTTGAGGGTGATACACATGTCTCTTTGACCCTCTCTAATTTTACAACTACATCAGTGAGCTTAGCGTGCACAATCATTTTAAAAGTTCTATACACTTGTGTACTGATGAAAGAAAACTGTTCCTGAACTTTTGAGTTGCTAATTTTTTCAAAGGCAGCAATTGCTAGATAAAAAAAGTTTCCAAAACTGTTTAGATTGAATAAGAGGTGGTGATGGTGGTTTCATATTCTTCTTGTATCGTTTCAGGCATTTGACAAACAGGGATTCCATGCAGGAACACCACCCCCATTTAATCTGCCAATGGCGACAGGTACGCAGGCCGGACCTCTAGGGGCTCCCACGACTCCCTACGGTGCTGCCCCCTTTATGAACGTGCCGATGATGCCCCCACATAACCAGATGCTCCATCCCAATATGCAGCAGGTTAGTTGGAATATTTTAAAAACAAGTTCTTGAGGGATGTAGCAGAAATTCACTAGGAATGGGGCGAATTAAATAAAGCTTACTGAATTAAATGACTTGTCAGACCAATAAGCATTTAAAAAAATTAAAATTAAGAGATGAGGTGCTGGTTTCCTCAAAAAATTAAGAGGTAAATAACTAAAAATAAGGACTTTCGTTAGGATGTTTCATTTGACAAGAATGCATGTAATGGCATTAGTAATCGGGTCAAAGGGCAAGGTCAGTGTTAACAAGGTGCTTTACATAAATCTCAAGGTTTTGTTGTGTTGAGAACTTTACACTGGTACAGTATGGAACTACTTGTAGGACGTTGACAAGACAAGCATCCGTACTGTGACTACAGTAAATTGCTGGTCATATCAGGTGATGCAACATCAATCAGTACATCTCTTACCGCCTGGCTCTGTAGCTTGGTGGTAGTCAAGTTACAGACAACACATACATAGTAGTAGCTGTTTATCACTTCATTTGTTAGCTTATGCAACTTTTTCTGGCATCCGCATCAACCTTTATTCACCCTGAACATTTTGTGGGGATGTTACAGTCATGCAGGATGCATATTTGTCTGTCCGTTTATCTAGTTACATTTCTTGTCCAGATGTTGCCTTAAAAAATAAATTATACAGTACCAAGCTCAAATTTTATGGTTTGCCCTAGGGAAAAGGACTAGAATATACATAGGGTAATGGCCTTTTGTTTATTTTTGATACAGAAAGTTTAGGACAAGGCATTTGGTTGGTTGCTCCTTTCTAAGGAGATGCCAGGTTCTTGTCTGCTCCTACTGCTGGCCTGTAAATAAATGAGAAGTTGAATTTGCTGATACAATGATGAAATGAACAGTCTCGTTCGTATGATGAACATTGATTTCACCAAACATATTTCTGAGATCAGCACATTTAGCATATTTTTAAGTTCTAATATTTGACCATATCTACAGAATCACCATTTCCACAATAATCAATGTATAATGATCATGATAAGGCATTGTTATTCAATTACAGATTCTCTCAGTAAATCAACTTGAATATGTCGCCAATCATGCTGATCACTTTACATTTTTCTTAAGAACTTGCATCTATAATTAGATTCTCTGTCTATATTGTAAAATCTTTCTTCTATTTTTCCACAGGATTCCACGACCGGGTCATCACGAGGCTCTCATGTACATAGCCAACAGAACAGCACCCAGGCAAAGGCAGGTGGTGCCAAGGCATACGCAAACAGTAACTGGACCTACTAGAGGGTCCCTGGAGACAGGATCCCTGGGATTATAGGGAGTCAGGTTAAAACCTGCAGACTGGTAGGATCCTGGGTTGCTGGGAGTCCAGCTAAAACAGGCAGACTGCTGTCACAATGGAATATGAGGCCACCACTGCTGGTGTTAACGATTCATGATGGTTACCAAATCTTGTGTTTGTTTGTAGCGAGAAATTTTTGAATCTTGTGTATCTTTCTAGTGTTGGTATATTTTAAACATTGATACTAGAATCCCAATTTATGAAATGCTGTTCTGCGGTTGTACATGGCTTTTGAGACGTGTGTGTTTGTGTCGGCTTTGTAGATTTACCTGTGTCCGTCTAGATCATCTTGAGCCCAGTGTATTGTACAAGGCAATCATCTAAAGCTTCTCTCCTAAGGGGTTGTATGTATGTGTTAAAGTAGCTATGTATGACTATATACAAATATATATATTGGGGCTTGTCTGCAAGATTACTCATTTTATAAAGTTTAAAAGAACGGATACGATATAAACAGGAATTTCGTTACATAAATTCCACTCTGTAGATTCCTTAAAAGGATTTGAGTAGCAAACATTAATCAAAGATGGTGCCTTACGAAGCGATAACAGGAAAGCTCACCAGAAGGTGACGCATTATAAAGTTCTAGGTGAACTTGATGGACCCTAACCATAATCGTTCAATATGAAGGACCACGTTTAAGGAGGTCCATGTTATTGAGTATTTTCCTTCTTTTCACATTTAATATTTTTCCAAATCATGTTTTATTCAGATGTAAATACCACATTTAGAGCATTGTTTGTTTAAAAGCTTGATATATATATACATATTTGGACGGGGTCCATCAGCTTCACCCAACTTAGATCGATGAAATATTTAAAAAAAAAAACGGAATTCTAGTTAAGGTATCAAAGGGTCACGTCAAGGTTTAGTTTTGTGTATCACCTTAATTTGTTTTATTTAAATGTGTGCTCACAAAAAACAGATTTGTTTTTCATTATTAATATTATGATCATTGTATCCTTTGAACTTACCTGTGTTGAGTATAATATTATTATTATTATTATTATTATGGTAATTCGTAGTAGATGTGCATGTGTACAAATTCATTGAACATTAGTCGAAGAAATTCCAGATTTTTTTTGTCCTGGTGAATAGATTATTGTAGAGTTTCTGAAGATTTTGTATTGTAAATATATAAATATATATATCTTTATCATCCAGTATGTTCAGAGGATTTTGCCTTTTTTTTTTAAACTGGAGCCATTAAGTAACGTACATTTCCTATTGTGCTCATAATAATAAAAAAAACTGAATGAAATATTGAATTTGTATTGCTTCTGTGTTGTTTATCAAATATAGTCGGGACTGAAGTTTAGTTCTGTTATTTTTCATGCTTTGGTGTGTACAGAACAATTTTCACATTATGAAAAACAACATTCAACACTGTTTATATGCTTGAAAATACAGGTCAGGTTATGGTTTCAAGCTATTCCCTGTTTGTCCCATGGTTTTCATGTGACTGAAACTAGTTCTACGGTTTTCAACAAAATATTTTGAGACTTGGTGTTTATGATGGGAGTATGATGGGAATCAGGCCAATGAACATATCATAAAACTGTAATGCAGTGTTAATTTTCGAATTGCATATATACATTTTTTTAATCTGAGGGTTGATCTAATTCAAAACTAAATGTAGATCATACTTCACACATAAGCAAACTAAGTATATAAATTGTTTTACCAATATATGATATTTAACAATGTTGAGGACTTGTAAAACTGTAATGCTGCTTTCGGCCCATAGACGGATTGTATGTCGAAAGATGAAGGATGTTTGAAATTAAATCCTGTTGCCTACGAGACCTGGCTACAATCTTTTCTGGCATGGATGACAATATGTGTTTGTGCAGTGGAACAGGCCTTGTCAAATCTAATAAAGCAAGTGTTACAAAACAAAAACCTTGTGTACGGAATCCAAACAGGCTCTGTATATTTGATGATCACAGTCGACTAAAATACAACTACATACATCATTTCATTGGCACTCGGACCAAGAAAGGAATGATTTTATGACCGCAACTATCTACGGTTTCCGACCGAATTTCTTTAAATGAGATGTTGTGTGGAGAGTGAACAACAGTAAACGTGTTTTTTCCCTTAAAAAAATCAATTCACTAATATATCACGGGCATATGATGCACTGCTGTGCGATATTCTGATACATGGGAATTGCAGACGCCATACAAACTTCGGTTATCGTGGTATAACGGTTGATAAACCTTGAGTAGTGCCATTGTCTGCACACCATGTCGGATGTGATCTTAGATGTTCAAAATATGGCAAACCCAACGACCATTCTTTCTAAAAGAAAAATAGATGATTAAGGATAAAAAAAAATGCTGAACAAAAACAACCAAAATAATCTGAAGTTTGAGAGCAAAAATGTAACAAATGATACATTTTTACATGGAGACCCTTGGTTCAAAAAGAAAGACTAGGTGCTCAGGAAGGTTCGCCGACCTCTTCATCGACGACACAGACCGTGCAAGTCGCTTTCGGTAATTTCACGTCCTCAATGAGAGTACCGGAGTAATGACAACGAAACGACGAGGCACAATAATGAGCATGATCAGGAACAAAGACCTTCATACCATACACAGAAATGGTGTATTACCCAATGTGGTCATAATGACTGCTGTAAAATATGCCTATGATCTTCATCAGCCTACATTTATAGCAGCATTGTCGCAGAAATCATGATATTCGGATAAAGCTTTTTGAAACAGAATTAAATTCTACATGTACACAAAGTAGGTTGGGGTAGCAGGGGTGTTACTATCAAAATAAGTACTTTGATGTGTATTTGCAGTTTTTTGCTGAGGAATTTTCACCTATCGACTGTTGTTGACCACTCAAGGTCCAGAGTTTCTTTATACAGTAGCAGTCGAGTGGTTCATACATTGCAATGTTACAGCGAGAACGTTTGACAATGTGCTTTTTTGTTTGTGAGGGGATTTTTCGAGGATGACAATTTTATTTATTTGCATGGCCCTACGTTTGGTCGCACAGAGCTTGCACTGTCATTGTTCGGATATTGTAATATATTATTGACGCCTTTATTGTCCATGATATACTAGATATTAACGAACGTTAAAACAGCATCGGATATGTATCAAATTGTTGCCACAAAAAAAAATCAATGTAACCTGTACTACAACAGTTTGCGCCATTCTGATTTACAGATATGCTTTACCTTTGCTTGTGATGTCAACAATTCTCCCCAGACTGCATTTCATTCGGAATCAAAGAACTATTTTTCTATGAATGTAGACTATTAGAAAAAAATATTATTTAGTTTTTTTTTTGTTTTTTTTTGTAATAAGTGTATGTGATCTTACGTATCTTTCCAAAGTGTAATGAATTAGGGCCGTTCTACAATTCATGACATATTTTACACTTGACTCAATGTGAACCTGTAGAGATGCTTCGGGGAATAAAGTACAGTATCATATATACACAAAGCAAGTAGAACTAAGTTCATCTGTCTATCCAACAGATCATAAACATAATAGAAAAACCAAATGAATAAACAACAACAACATTTTCTTGAAAATTTAATTCGCTGTCCTGACAGCAAAAACGTTGCAACAATAAACAATATGAAAACAACCAACAACGTTGTGTAAACAACCGCTAAATTAATGCCTGATGGTCGCACATGAATAATAACTGTAATGGAAACATTAAGCGAAGTCGTGAAAAGTGACTACGATCCACGATTAATATACTTCAAACGTACATATTTCAGCGGTAGTCTTATTTTAGCGATTTCCGCGCTTCGGTTATTGCACAAAGTTATTAATGCGCCTCTTTAAGTTCCTATGTATTGTTCTCTAGCGCATATTTTCGGGATGCACAAATTCATCAATGCGCTTATCTATAAAAAAAAATCCGATAATGCGCTAAAATAAATAGTTTACAGTTCATCATTACGTATGCAAGTGCTAATCATAATGCTGTGTTTGATGGTTTTTCAGTTTCAAGTGATGTTTTTGCTGTTCCTTCTGTCGTGAGTGACACACTTGTCGGCTTGGCTGTTATATCCACTTGAGAAACTACAATGTATTCTTTTTCATATCGTTCAGTGTGTCGTCTTTTCAGGAAGAAGTTGAATATAATTAGGCCGCAACCGCCAAATGTAAACACAGCTAAGGCATAGTAACACAGCCAGTCGAAATGTCCTCGTATATCCATTATCCACCCTGTATAAAGTAGAACAAATACACTTTTATTGATTTTATAAATACAATATTTTCAAGAATAATGATGAAGATGAAATAATCTAAGTATATTTTTTTTTCAACAACAGTGTTCTGAGCGTAAAAAAGTGGCAGATCTTGATTCAAACCTTGGACCCAGATTAATATACCATCTCACTAACCAACGAAGGTATAGTTACATCCCAAACAAAACTAAAGGGGCGGTTACTGTGTATACGAAAAACTGCAATGGATTCCCCTGTGGTTTTTCTGTGGTAAGATATGGATTCTCAAGATCACTTATTGACAACATATTGATTAGTAAGTGCATTATTCAAGATTGTTTCCTCCCATAAATCTTATTACATGATAATTCATAATTCGCATTTTTAAATCGAATTGGACAATAACTCATAAACAAGTAATCAAAATGAGAACGAATGAAATCTTTGATTAATAAAAAAAAAACCTCAGAAAAAGTAAAGAAGTTCTCAAAATAATTAACTTGGCGTAATTACCATGACAAGAAATGAAATTTATTCCGCTCTAGACTGGATGAAATATGTATATGGTGTAATCATCATTAGGGCGGATATGAAGCCCAAAATCCACTAGACTTATCTATGTCATTTTCACAACTTGATTTCCCTTATTTTTTGACAGTTTGAATCTGTGCTTGACAAGCAAAAAGCTGTCAAGAATGTCTAAATCTAGTGGAAATGACTACTTGGCGTTGATTACCGTGACGCGATTTCATGTACAGGTCCCCTGGGCTTAACACCGGTAACATACAGTATATACCTGCTAATGGAGGCCCAGTGATGACTGCAGTGCCAGCAAAAAGCCTGTAAAATCCTAATCCTAAAGCATAGGAATCCTTTCCGACGATGTCGACCAGTACTATGGGTTTTAGTAGAAGGTAAGCTCCTGAAAGTACACAAACGCAATTTATCCTTTTTTATAGACAACTATTTACAGTTCTAAGATCAAGTTCTAAATCATATTTAGCAGTCTGCTATAACTAACCCGGTGGAAAGGAGTTTGTCGAAGTAAATAACCATATCTATGTACAATCCTTGGGCCAACCAAAAAAAGATATTTGGTGTTTCCGGTAACCCTACCTTCCCTAATTTTTTGTGCCTGCCTTAAACTTTTTAAGGCAATGTCCAAAGAAGCACTGTGTTCTAGTCAAGATCACTCCTATATTAACTACATAACTTTATTTGTTAAAATAAATCCTGTTACCTACCTACCTACCATTATTTTTTCAAACATGTTACAGGAAACACATACAATTTGTTTTGTCTGGCCTTATTCAGCCATATAATGTGTCGACATAGGTCTGTAAAAGTCCTTAACCATAGTCGTCCGCAGTATACAGGCACATGTTAAGTCGACAGCTTAGGGCAAAGGGCTTAACGGAGTCAGTCCAAAAATACAGTTCAGTGTTAAAGTCCTGTCATCACTGGCGACGGCGTAATGTAAAAGTCCTTACCGAGAGTCATCCACAGCTATGCTTTATGTCGACAGGTGTGAGTCATACCCAATATAAAACCAGATATAATGTCGATAGGTGTGAGTCATACCCAATATAAAACCATATATAATGTCGAAAGGTGTGAGTCATACCCAATATAAAACCATATATAATGTCGAAAGGTGTGAGTCATACCCAATATAAAACCATATATAATGTCGACGGGTGTGAGTTATACCCAATATAAAAACATGTATAATGTCGACAGGTGTGAGTCATACCCAATATATAATCATATATAATGTCGACAGGTGTGAGTCATACCCAATATAAACCCATATATAATGTCGACAGGTGTGAGTCATACCCATATAAAACCATATATAATGTCGACAGGTGTGAGTTATACCCAATATAAAACCATATATAATGTCGACACCGTAGTTTTGAAGTCCTTAGCGGGAGTCGTCCCCAGTATATAGCTATGCTTTATGTCGACAGGTGTGAGACATACCCAATATAAAACCATATATAATGTCGACGGGTGTGAGTTATACCCAATATAAAAACATGTATAATGTCGACAGGTGTGAGTCATACCCAATATAAACCCATATATAATGTCGACAGGTGTGAGTCATACCCAATATATAATCATATATAATGTCGACAGGTGTGAGTCATACCCAATATAAAACCAGATATAATGTCGACAGAGGGAGTCATACCCAATATAAAACCATATATAATGTCGAAAGGTGTGAGTCATACCCAATATAAAACCATATATAATGTCAACAGGTGTGAGTCATACCCAATATAAAACCATATTTAATGTCGACAGGTGTGAGTCATACCCAATATATAATCATATATAATGTCGACAGGTGTGAGTCATACCCATATAAAACCATATATAATGTCGACAGGTGTGAGACATACCCAATCTAAAACCATATATAATGTCGACACTGTAGTTTTGGAGTCCTTATCGGGAGTCGTCCCCAGTATATAGCCATGCTTTATGTCGACATACCCAATATAAAACCATATATAATGTCGACGGGTGTGAGTTATACCCAATATAAAAACATGTATAATGTCGACAGGTGTGAGTCATACCCAATATATAATCATATATAATGTCGACAGGTGTGAGTCATACCCATATAAAACCATATATAATGTCGACAGGTGTGAGACATACACAATATAAAACCATATATAATGTCGACAGGTGTGAGACATACCCAATATAAACCATATATAATGTCGACACTGTAGTTTTGAAGTCCTTATCGTGAGTCGTCCCCAGCATATAGCCATGCTTTATGTCGACAGGTGTGAGTCATACCCAATATAAACCCATATATAATGTCGACAGGTGTGAGTCATACCCATATAAAACCATATATAATGTCGACAGGTGTGAGACATACACAATATAAAACCATATATAATGTCGACACTGTAGTTTTGAATTCCTTATCGTTAGTCGTCCCCAGTATATAGCCATGCTTTATGTCGACAGGTGTGAGTCATACCCAATATAAAACCAGATATAATGTCGACACTGTAGTTTTGAAGTCCTTAGCGGGAGTCGTCCCCAGTATATAGCCATGCTTTATGTCGACAGGTGTGAGACATACCCAATATAAAACCATATATAATGTCGACACTGTAGTTTTGAAGTCCTTAGCGGGAGTCGTCCCCAGTATATAGCCATGCTTTATGTCGACAGGTGTGAGACATACCCAATATAAAACCATATATAATGTCGACACTGTAGTTTTGAAGTCCTTAGCGGGAGTCGTCCCCAGTATATAGCCATGCTTTATGTCGACAGGTGTGAGACATACCCAATATAAAACCATATATAATGTCGACACTGTAGTTTTGAAGTCCTTAGCGGGAGTCGTCCCCAGTATATAGCCATGCTTTATGTCGACAGGTGTGAGACATACCCAATATAAAACCATATATAATGTCGACACTGTAGTTTTGAAGTCCTTAGCGGGAGTCGTCCCCAGTATATAGCCATGCTTTATGTCGACAGGTGTGAGACATACCCAATATAAAACCATATATAATGTCGACACTGTAGTTTTGAAGTCCTTAGCGGGAGTCGTCCCCAGTATATAGCCATGCTTTATGTCGACAGAGGGAGTCATACTCAGTATATAATCATATATAATATATTACTGTGAGTCTTCCCCAGTATGTGAATCACCCGCATAAAGCCAAACATTATGTTGACACTGTAATTTGGAAGTCCTTAACATGAGTCGTCCCAAGTATATGGCGGCAGATGTGAGTCATACCCTGTATAAAACCATACATTATGTCGACAGTCCTTACCATGAGTCATCCCTAGTATACAGCCATATACTAAGTAGGCAGCGTAGGTTTGGAGGTAAACCAGTCCCAGCGTTGACACGCCGAGAATTATTGCGGCGACGCCCATCACAGTGACTGTATGCGCCTTCATTCGATCAACAACCAGTCCGATTGTCGGACGCAGGAAGATGCCTATAAAAAGAGCAAAAACCTCTTTACAACAGCATGTCATCCTGGCGAGGAGATCTTGTCTGCTACATTTGCAATGTCAGATTCTAGGGGAATTGAGAAAACATGGCGGATTAGACTTTGCGAAGGTTTGGAATATGGTAGGAATTTTGGCTACTGGCGATTGTTAGCTCGATGAAGTAATAAAGAAAACAGTCTACCTCATCGTCAAAAAATCGAAATCCGAAATCAAAGACGTTTCGAAAAGGTACCAGTATTATGAAAAACACCAAACGTAAAGAAAGCCATAATGAACCTCTACACAACCCAGAGGCGAGACCAGGCTCCCCGGAAGGTGAAGCGCTTCTAGCATCACGTGTGGCACCGGCCATGATGTCTCTCGTCAGATAAAAAGGAATCTATCTAAGAAACGATCTTAGCCAGTGATTATTTTGTTTGGCTGGACAAAATACACATCTACTGCACCATATGGTCAGACAAATGGAATGCCGTGTCTCAACTGTTCTGAAATATGTATACACACTTTTTCAGCTAAATGGGAAACCTTTTTATAACGTTACAAAGGACTTGTGTCGTTTTGGGTTTATTCTCGGCCTGAAAAATACTTATTTCAACTTGAATTTATTTACATATTTCTTTAATAATCATCATATTGGTTAATTGGAGCTTTGTTTCCTGGTGAACGTTTTTTTAATCGCGCATGCGTCGATGCCACACGATAGCAATACAGTTTCTTTGCTGTGTAGAATTAGCCAAACTAGCCAAATAGCTTCGTTATGCCATATCTCATATACCAGTTTTCGTATGAATTAAATGGTATATTTTCATAACAACTAATTCTAAATCCTGATGACGCCGAAAATGACCATTAACGCCCCAAGTTGTTTTTGCATGTTTTGACTACAAAAAACAATATATTTTGTAACTAGTATTCAATGTAAACTAAACATTGCGAGAATTAATTCCTAAATTCCATATGCATCAACAGGAACTGCAAACGATTTCTTGGACGTCATCAGTAACTATATTAAAACTTACTAGCTATTCCTGCTACCGTTATGATCATTGCTTGTTGCCTTGGCGACAGTCCAATGGCGGCCGATATAACAGGAATCATAAAGAAGGGAACGAGGATGACCATATCGACACTGAAGGACATTATTCCGTACAGGACGAAATACTTGTTTGTGTACAAATCCTTAATTTTCTGTAGTGTACTTTTCTCCTGTTCCTCCTTTTTATGGTCTGTCTTTTGAAGCAGAAGTGCATTTTCTGAGGAGGCAAAGAAGATATGAAAAGTAGTTAGTAAGTTGATTACGAAATTGTGACTTACTCTTTAGGTTTCTTGGAAATATTAAAAAAAAAAATTAAAAGGAATAATATATTTAACCTAACGACCCTATGTAAAGATAAAAGTAGCTAGGAAGTTAATAAAAAAAGTTTTGACCTACACCTTAAGTTTTTACGAAATAATAAAAAAAAACATTTGAAAGGAAATGAAATATTTTACCAGACGACCCTATGTAAAGACTCTTTCCTGATTGTTAAACAATAATTCATCAATATATACTCTGTTAGATAGAGTTTTAAAAATCATCCTGGATATCGTACCAACACCCATTAATGTTATATTTGTTTCTCTCACAATAAAGGCAGACTTTTGTATTAAGGGTTGCAACTTGATTCCCTTCTTTGATACTCCATGGGTTACGCTCACTTTCGCTCTCTGTACTCCTGGATTATGTCATGGCAAAATTGAAGGCACAAAGACAGCTTTTTGATTGGTCCCAGGTACAAAATACTGACCAATCGCTAGGCTGGTACCTGTCCTTTGATGATTACAAAGAAGCTACACCCGACTTCAAAGTTATCCTTTTTTACTGTTACGCGATTGCCAGATTCTTTTGATGTACACCAAAGGATCGAATTAGTCTTTTTGTTCCATCAACAAGGAGTATGGCGCACACAGAGCCTTCATTTTTTTTTCTATGACATATTCCAGGGGTGCAGAGAGCGATATAGCGTACCCCCTGGAGTATCGAGGATACTTGATTCCAAACCAGTAATGATACCAGAAATACCATAGGTTACCCCTTGTCATACTTTAGCACAGCCTCCAAATCCCAGTGGTAACACTCACTTATTTTCTGTGAAGAGAACTTAACAGAGTATAGCCCTTGGAATTTCGAGGATGAATCCAGGTGTAATTTCTCCTTTGCTGAATATGTGTACGGAGACGTTTAAAAGAATTTTGTAAATCGAGTGTTTCGATAATAAGTTTGATATCAATAAATTGGGTTGTCAAATTTAGTAAATATGACTGTTTGATTTGCACAATTCAAGGCAGACTGTGTTAATAGCGTACATGTTTTATACAAATGTTGGTTATTAAATGCAATATTTATTTAACCAGTAAGTACCCCAGCTAAGATCGACAGACATTTTCGACTGTTATTTTACAAACCCTAACTAATTTTTGATAAAGAAAATATTTTCAGTTAAACAAACGTGAGATATTTTGCCGATGACTCGTAGGGTAACCAATAGTTCATAAAAAGTATACTGTAATCAAAACGAATTTTGAAAATTGCCCTATTTTTCCTTTGTTTCATTGTTTTTTGTTTTTTTAAAATTTATATTCATAATTCAAATTTTGATGTATTGTTGTGATTTCAATATATATAATATCACCTATATTTGCACGCAATATCGTAATGGAAGAGTTAAAAACAAAACTTTAAAATCTTCTATCGGCGTAAACATGCGATAAAAATTGAGGAATTAAATATGCTCTGTATAAATATTAATATGCTCTTACTTTTTGGATCTCGATAGTTATCCTTTAGGATTAGTCCGACAGCGACCCCCTGGAGCGAGATTCCGGCCAAAATAAGATAGAGCCCCCTCCAGCCATACTCCTCCATCAGCCAGGCTATAAGGAAGGGGAAGACGCTGGTTCCGACCCCACCACCAATGTTGGAAAAAGCGTTCGCCAGTGTCCGTCGCTCATTGAAGTACATATTGATTGGAACCATCGCCGACAGGGACAACAAAGAAAACCCGAAACCTGTTTCCCAGAAATGCAAATCAAACGTTAAACGTAAGTAATTAATATATGTTATGTTATTGATTACAACTTCAGCACGTATCCTAGCTTAATTAAACACACTTACACACTATTCATGCAATAAAACATGAAAGAATGCAACATAAAATTCATTTAACAAGACTTAATAGGATATTAGTGACCGCAGGCATAGCTGCCTCTATTATCCACATCAATATAATTTGAAATACATTGTGGTAAACATAAAATAAGCCTTTATATAAAACGCTGTATGATCGTACTTCAACTCAAGATCTTTCCAGGATTCGTCCAAGTCTTTCTCAAAAGTCAAATAAATCCCCTTAATTATGTTAATTTCAATAATGAGAAAAAATGGTAAATTTCAAATTGATTATAAGTCAAGTGTATATTTTATGAACAATGCCACTACTCAAACTATATAACATTGGCTATCAAGGTTACGGCGAACCTTGAGGTCTAAGAAAGACTTAATTCTCTACATTTTCGTGACATACATTACCTCCTCACGAGGTTGGAAACCGTACCGGTTATAGCTCCATAAGTGACATACAAGACGTGGAAAGACGGGACAAACATACTACAGGCCAGTCCAACAGACGATATCAAGGATCCCAACACCACGGTAACTCGAATTCCCAGCTTGTGCTCTACCAAACCTGCCAAAGGACCTAGGAAAAAGACCACATTTGTGTAAATAATAGACTTTGCGAAGGAAACATAACAATTGGTAACTGCACAGGCGGCGATCACAAGAGTCTCCGAAACGCCCAACGAAAGCAAATTTCCAATATTGTTTCGAATTTGGAGCTTGTGCTCCACCAAATCTGCCAAAGGAATATCGGAAAAAGACCACATTTATATAAATAATAGAATTTTAGCTTCTACGAAGGAAACGTAATAATTGATAAGTGTTCTGACGGCCATTTCAGGAGTTCCCAAAACGCACAACAAAAGTAAATTCCCAATTATTATTTTTGTGCACTACGCACGTCCTTAATTTTCACTCCACTGACGGATAACAGCTTAATTAAGGTGCTTTTAGAATAACTCCTTCTGTGTGCTCTTTTTCATTTTGCTTCTTCACACAACTGTGGTTTAGCAGAACTGAATGTTGATCTGAATTGTATACATACTGTAAAAATACGAGAGTTTAAATTAAATAATCCAAAGTCTCGTGAGACTTCTGCTTACACATGATATGAAAATTCGAAATACCAATATATTCCCTGGAAGACTACGTCAGACAGTGGGCAAAACGGGAGTATGCTGAATTGTTTCAGAGTTGGTTAAATCTACCAGGTCCGTCAGTTTTAATGTAAACAGCAGTTTGACGACATCCAACATGAAACCAAACACACGTTTGTATTTCTAAACCCGAAGACCCAACCACACTTGACGTTCATGATAATTATGTGGAAAACATAATAATCTGTTCATATTTCCAGACATTAAAACATAATCGTTCCTCAAAAGCGTTTTTTTTCCACCAAAAAAATGATATTTTCCAATTAGTACTTTTCCATACCTCATACTGAACTGAAGGGACGTCTTTTATTATGAGATTTTTCATTCCAGAGAAGCGAACGCCGATACAGAACAGATAAATGGTCGGGAACGATTTNCATTGAGTTCGGTGGCAAGATTTTTCAGAGACTGATGGAATATCTACGGAGACAAAAATCTATCATTCTCTTGGCCGACATGTTTCGATTCATATCAGGCTGAATTCATCGAAAAGCCTTTCAGGATAAGTAACAAAACCCATGCCTAGCCCTTCTTTTCTACTTTAAGATATTTTAGTGATGCGTAATCTTTCTATATCAAAACAGTATGGGTACCAGTTTGGGCCATCTGATGTCTTACACCGATATATTGTTTTTTGGGTATATTCATACCTTAGGGTTATGTCGTCATCATATGACATGACATTAAGGTCAGCTTGGAGACCATCCCGAGATATGAGGGGGTTAAATGGGGGACCAAAATCACAAATGGTCTCTTTTTGACACCCATCCGTTATTTACCACGCGGATCGGATACTACATATTCTTATGCGTACAAACTGTGTCGTGACTGGGCAAGGGTGCTTCTGTTGACCAGCTCGCTCAACTTGTAAATTAGCAGTAATATTATCTGAGGTCTAGAGGGTCTAAGGTTCAAATATCATTTTATTTTTACAATCAGATTTTTTTTGTTTTTTTTTTTGTAAATTTCATTTTTATATATTTCATTTTATAAAAAAAAACCACGCAAGGTGTGGTTTTCTTTTCAAAGCTTTAACCATGCTTGCAAATAAAAGTTTCCAATACATACAGTTACAGTTTTTTGACTATGATACAGAATGATTACGCTTAAAATACATATTCAAAGTAGTGTCTTGATACACCTTAACGCACTTAATGAAAATATTTATATTGGCTAAGTCAGTCTTTGTTTGAAATTAAAGATAAACACAGTTCAATACGTACATTTACAATCTAAACAAGTAACGCCCTCTGATTATAACCGCGTTGCGTGTGTTTGATGGAATAGCAATCGAAAAGTCTAAGTCGAACGTGTTTGGGTACAAGCTATTCACTGTTTCATTTGAAGTGGGATGTCAAGGGTGACAGTCACAGTTATGATAAATGGAATCAACCAAACCACATGTTAATTCATAACTCTGTTAAAGCTAGTTTTCACATGTATGTTCGTAAAATAGATAACCATAACGTACAGTGAAAATGACGTAAAACGACATATGTTCTGCAATGCAATCACACAAATAGATAATTATATTATTATATTGATATATTGGAAAATAATCACTGGAATTACGAAGAAAGCTAGAATCTATTTGAAAATATCTTGCAGATGCAAAAGGCTAACAAAGTAAACATTTTACTGTACCATATGGGAATTGTGTTTAGGACTCATCTGTGATACTTAAAAGATCAAATTAATGGAAACTCCAGCGTTAAAGTGCTCCAAATCATATGTTAATTACACCAAAATGGTGATTATATACCTATAAAGCTCTTTACAATAAATAAATTATATAAATTTGCATGCTAATTCGTGAATCAATTTTTTTCTCAAAAATATTTGAACAAGTAATTTATATGCTATTACTTACTTTCGCATTTTTTCTATCATTGTAGAAAGCATACTCACGAAAATAACTATTCGCGAAAAATAGGAGACTCAGATTTCTACCTTATGATGCTTTTGTTATCTTATCGCGATATTGCACACATAGACCTGTTAACGTTATCAATCTTATATCATGTACAACTAAAATTATTTTCCCGTCCTGCACAATTTTTCATAGTTAACTCATTCACCCCTGAAGACACATTTGAGCTCTTTCAGTTCAAAGGTTGGAATAGTTCGTAATGAAATTTCAGGGGTGAATGAGTTAAGGATAATTTATAATAGTTACAAAAAATCAGATCTGATGAATTTAACTTACCTGACAGTAACATCAGGCCTGTATTGACGGATCCTATTCCATTAGCCTCGCTTTTTCCCACGTGAAATTCCTCTATCAGTTCTCGTATGATCAAACCGACAGACTGGGATATCCCATTACTGATCAATCTGAGAATAAAAGAACACCCAACCAAGAGGCAGCCATATTGGTTGAATTCAGACTTAGTTCGAGGCTTAGAGTTGTCGTCTGCCATCATCACGAAATCTCCAACATTCTTATAATATGCAGTGTAATAGCGTGTAATTCACCACGTACGAATTTACCTATCCACATTAAAGTAGACATGAGTTGTTAAACTAGACCGGGGCCGATGTTATCAGGAAAGTCAATACGCGTGAAGCGTTGACAAACATAGCACACGTTCTAAGTTCCTGTTGCTATCTCTTCAACTTGACTCATTTGCATATTGTACGATGTATAAGATATCTACAACACAATGTTGATAACTCTGTTGTTGATTGACATATTGTTAGCCCTATAGAGTTTAATAGCCAGAGAAGATCTCTTTAATGCAATATATGGATATTATTTATATATACATGTTGTATAAATATCTTGGTGTTTTTTTAAAGATAAAGCTGAAGATGACAAACGAATTCTATATTCGGTAAGAAGAATAGCTATTGTGAAGGCCCTTCTGATCTCCCAAATTAATCATTTATTTATAAAACCTGACGTTAACCTCAAGGAACGTTTTATACAAAATAGTCTCATGTAAGACTTTTTGTGGAACAGCAAAACCAGTTCGCATCAAAATCTGTCTTGTAACACAATGGCAAAATGAAAGATAACTAAAGATGATTAATGATATTTATTCCTCTGATCTGTACTTCAGCTTAGGTAGTGTGGCTGTTTAGAGGAGCTAAACATAGGTTCATGCATACTTATTTTTAAATAATGTTTTTGATATGGAGTGGCAGTATATTTGTTGGCTACGATACATGTGAATAAAATTAATTAGATATTTATTTATTTTATCAATGTACATTGGGTAACAATAGTTCATGTATGTATGTCTGTATATACGTGTGTATGTACGTACGTAGTTTGTATGTACCTACTTACGTGTGTATGCATGCATGTTTTGCACGTTCATTTGTATAAACAGTTGATAGGTTTATGGGGATACGGACTTTGTACCTGTATGTTAACAATATCACTACATTGTTGTATAAGAAGATGTGTGTTGCATGGATATAGTTTTATGTTCTTGTTTATGAATATTTGAATAAGAAAAAAATGCCTAATTATAAATATAATATCATGCTGGTTTATTTCCCCAATGATGTATATAACACACACACAATCAGTTTTTGCCAAATATGTCAGAGGCAGAAGTATAAAGAGGACTGATATGATGTGAAGTCTATATTTAGCTTTGGGCTCTATGAGATCGATGATGACTTACATACCTTCTCTTCCGAAACACTTAGCTTCACCTATGTTTGTACATTTCTGTGTACAAATATTTATTTTCCATCAATGTTGTGTTGATGTTTCTACTTTACACATACAACATTTAAATCAAATATATGATCATATCTTTTTAATTGAAATATTCATAACCATATTTTTAAGCAAAACAAACGATTATATTATTATATAGGGTAATAAGTGTATGCTACGACATCGTCTATACCCATCATGTTTGCGATTTCAAATGTTATGAACCTTAGATATACAATTTTGGAAACATATATTATGGTGTTTTAGGATTGATATGACTCAAGATAAAATAATTTATACGTAACACAGGTTAAAGTCTCACAGAGTATCTACATTCATTGTTTTCTTGGCTTCAGTGGAATGATGTATGTAATATATGCAGGTAACTTGTCATAAAGATTATAGATACGGAGGATTTTTTTGTTATAATAGTATCATAAAAATATATATAAGGCAGTGAAAAACAGATACCTCTGAGTTTATTTGCTGATGTAAAGCATGTACTTCGGCCTACCAGGTGCAGAAAGCACTTTATAGTGCAAAGTCTACTTTTCCGTCATCTTTCGTTGCATTGTGTTCTTAAGGGAAGTAATAGATAAAAACGTGCAAAAAATAGTCGACAAATCTCTCTACATAGCTCTGTTACATACGGTCGAAGCGTATCTATCCCGTCGTTCATAAATCACATAATTACGTTAAAAGATTTATCCTCTGTCCATTATTATTTATAATATATCTATTAATTCACTTCGATACACAATTTAAATATGAGTTTTTTGCTGTAAACAACCTTTGGCCCCCGGCTAGACGTATTGTGCAGTAATACCTGTGGTGGATGATGTACCGTCAATATGCAAATTTATCTTACACCGCTGTTGATAGGTCCTACCCACACCATGTCATATTAAGATGTGATCCTTTTCATGAAGTCAGCATGACATTTCGAGCTTTTTCAATTCAAAATTGATACATCCCTGATGCTAGGATTTGTTTTTTTAATAAATCAAGCATTAAGCCCCTCCTAAGATGTTGTATGTATGATGTATTATCTCATTCAGCTGGAAAAGGGTTCTTCTGTCAACATATCGGATCACAAAGCTTAACAAAGTATAAAACTGTCGTTTGCATTCAATCATAACGGGCTTTTCTATGGCGATAGACATTTTAGGTCACCTGAGGTCTCAAGTGACCTATTGCGATCGCCTTTTGTCCGTCGTCGTCCGTCGTCCGTCGTCCGTCGTGCGTCCGAAAACAATTTACATTTTCGATTTCTTCTCCAAAACCCCTGAACCAATTTTCTTCGAATTTAGCAGAAACCTTCCATGGCCAAAGGTCAACCAGATTTGTGAATTATATGGTTACCAGCCCCCCGGGGCCTGATGAGTGGGGCGAAAAGGGGTCGAATTGACTGAAATTAAAAAAATCTTCTTCTCAAGACCCAGATATGGTAGAATCAAATGCTCTTCATAGATGAAAAGGGTCTTAAGGTGCTTAACGAAAATCGTGAATTTCATGACCCTGGAGTCTCACCTTTTCCCCTTGGGAGGGGGTAAACTTTACTATAGTTTATATAGGGAAATCACATTTTGGACCACATTTGTTTAATTTCCATTGGAAGTAATTCAATTTGGATTAGCATTTTTAGTATTAGATAGCAGTTTAATAGTTTGCACATATCAGCCGTGGGACCCCCGGGGCTGATGGGTGGGGCGAAAAAGGGTCGAATTGACTGAAATTTAAACAATCTTCTTCTTAAGACCCAGATATGGTAGAATCAAATACATAGATGGAAGGGTATTAAGGTGCTTAAATCGTGAATTTCATTACCCTGGGGTCTCACGTTTTCCCCTGGGGAGGGGGTAAACTTTACTAGGGGTGGCAAAATTTATTATGGTTTATAATGGCAAATGATACTTTGAATATTACATGGTGATAACTTGATCGGAATTATAACCCTGAGTTGACAGTTTGATACTTTTGAAAATTTTGAGCCAGCCCTATTCCCAAGGGCTGTAGGGCGGGGACCAAAGGAGTCAGTGTGCCAAAATTTCTTCATTTTCTTTGTTTAGAATCAGAGGTGCTAGTTATATTGAATAAGGTGGTTTTATTGTTTTTTGTCACTTTGAATAATATTTCTATTCATGTTTTAAAAACAAAAATCAATTCTCTGTATACATATATTAGACCTCAGGTGACCGTTAAGGCACATGGGCCTCTTGTTTGTCATTCAATGAGAGATATACCGATATAAAGGTGGTATACTATTAAAGTTTATAATTAAATAGATAGATACATAAAACAAATATTATTGTTGGAATTTCTGTTGTACACACAACTTCCTGTTTTTTCTGTATTAAACTAGGTCAGACACTGTTGTCCCGTAGGTCGCATTTATTTATGGTCTATATATATACACCTCTCTTATTGACAGCACATCCTTTAGGCCTATACGAAGCATTTTTCAATTATAAAGCTATACTTAACAACATGCCTTTCACATTAATTTTTAAACTTATTTCGAGAATCGTTGAAAGGTTCACGCACCACAACCATGAAAATGTTTATTTGTGACGTTTCAATGACTAGTACAGTTGTCTAGTGGTAGAACGCCGGGCTCGTGACCGAAGGGTTGCGGGTTCGATTCGCGGCACTGTGTTATATCTTTGATCAAGATAATTAACTCATAATAAACATATTGGCTAGTTGCAAAGGCCAGATATCTACGGATAATAATATGTGAACCGTTTTGAGACGACCTACGACCTAGGTTGTGATAAAGTGGTATATAAGAACCTCGAATTCTTATTTGTTATCATTATCATACTTAAACACCTTCACCAGAAAAACAAACATTTCTACAGTCCTTACTTACCAACATGAAGAAAATTGTTAGAAATAATTACAAGAACTCTTATATTCAGGTTGATCACATCAACAGTTGATTAAAAAAGTGATCAATTTAATTAAAAACAATTATATCGGACCTTTCTGACAACTATTAAGACTTCAAGATTGTGTTTTTTCATTTTCGTTTTTTTTTATTTACAATCATAATTGATTCGAAAATATATATTTCTCTGTGAAAAAGTATTTATGGTATCAGATCGTGTACAAAATTCATCAAAATGATTTTCGACTGCTCTTTTGTTAAAACTCGATTTATATTGTATTTTTCATTAACAAAGCAAAAACATTAAGACCATTCTCGGTATAAACACATTTTTTTAATATTGGTACAACACAGTAAATTGTTGATAAATGATTGTGACAAAAGCATGAAACAAGAACATGGAATATCAAGGCGTTCAAATTAAAAACTCACAAACACAATAGAGGAAAACAGACCGATTAAAATTCGTAATCATAACATTCACAAAAAAACATGACTTTTAGCAAATATAACATTTTTGAAATTTTGTCACTCTGCAAAAGATTTTATATTTTCTATCTCAGACCGCACCGTGGATATAATGCATGTACGAAGAAAGATAACTCCCACTGATTTTGCGCCTTTCACATTTTAAATTGATATATATATTTTTAATTTGATATACAGTATGACAAATTCGGTATATGTTTTGTTCGCAAGAAACAAAGGTTCATAAAAATTGGTTGAAATTCATATCCACTCTCGCCTTAAGTTCGGCTGATATGAAATTGAACATGAAATATGAGTATATGGTAGTACGGGCATAAAACCAATATACCTAATAATATATATGATAATGGATGACTATTACCTATAAAGATAAATCACTTGTATTGTTAAATAATGATATAAATATAAAGCATTGATATTATTTTCACACAAACTTGTAATTGACAATATATCTGTATCTATGTTGGTAGCCCAAACTGACAATGACAGTAAAATCGACGTAATATACCCTTTGCACATATCTTGATAGTTGTGTAGGTATTACAAATATGTATGGTGAAGCAAGATATATATATTTTACTTTGTATCTGTGTGTCTAACGTTAATCCTTCGCGATACAAGGGGGTAGGTTCTGCTTTTCTTATTGAATTTCTTATTCTCTCATACCTGTGCGTAAATGACATAACTATCCAGGGTGAGAAAAAGGATGTAAGAAGTTTCTGTCTTACACTAATTTTAAAGTGCAAAATGGGAAAACAATGACGCAGCATCACTAAATCGGGAACATTCCGATGTGTGATGCGGAAACTACGATGGTTTTAGTAATTTCTGAACTAATTATGGTGTTTTAAACAAGAGAAAAATACTCTTTGGTGCTTAGTGATGTAGGATAGGGAAGTTTCAACCCCAGGGATTTTAAATTGGTGAAAAAGCCTCAGCAAGCCTGGGGTTTCACATAATTTGAAAACTCCTTGTTTTGAGGTTCCCTATACTACACCCATAGGCATGAATAGTCGTATAGTCCTTGGGTTTTGCCGTAACCTTTCCAGCCATAATGAGCTCTTTTGAGTAATGACGCGGTTCATAATATGCACACATCACTCCTTATTCAACAGTAATAGTTTAATTTATAAAAATCATGTAATATATATATATATGTATTTAATATCATATAAAGAGATTTTAACACCCCCCTACCCCCACCCCACATTCCCTTCTGCTTCATCAATAGTTTAAACCAATTTGACTATCGACCTTTTTAGCCCCTACCATCACCGATGAGTCCAAGAAGGACGAAACAGCTCTATGATGCAGTGTCATTCATTTTGGCAAACTGTATCTTTTACCAGATGTTTATGGTGAAAAAACCTGTGCCTCACGTTTATCCTACAGACATGTGCCTGTAACTGTATTTCAAGATTTTGATAATTGGTGTAAACTCAATGAGTGGCACTGACATTAGAAAGTTTAATTTGTAACATGATGAACCCTTGTATTGGTTCTTACAAATGAGAAATATAATTTAATGAATCTATCTTTCTTGGAAAATGTTCAACCACCTAAAACAGCAAACTTAAAGGACGTGTCACTGTTTCAAATATTAAACTATAATGTAATTGTTTTTTAATTGTTTCTACATTCACAATGGCTTGGGACGCTGACAGGAACAAATTCCATTTTGGGTAACCAGTCACAATCTATTTTGATCAGCATCCAGATAAGTTTATACATTGTTTGGCAATGATAGTTCGGAGAGCAAACTGTATTTCTGGAAGTAGAAAGAAAGTACAATACTCAAAAGAACCACAAATATTTATATAACATGAAAATTGAAAATTGCTATATCAGTTATCACCTTTTCATATTATTTTATTTTATCATTTTCATAAAAATCTTTCGTTTTCTATTCATAATTTTTTATTGTAAAAAAAATATCTTTTAATCAAAATCCACAAATTATACAATTAATATCAATTAAAAAAACCATTTTGTATTCTATACACTATCAATAAATAGCAATGTTTTTGAAATTATGCACACTTGACATTTAATACATATTATAATGCATCCCTTAAATGTTAATTAAGGCACATCGATTAAACATAGGCGCACACAAATCAACTAAAAATATCAGTTTAGCTACTTTTTAATGAATGCCATTATGTTTGACCAAAAGATAAAATAAAATATGCATTTACTTTAGAAGGTAAAGATTATTGACAAAAAGCACTTGTGAGGCTGTATGAGGCGTAATGAAGGGTTGATGAAATTGCGTATCTTTAAAAAATGTTACATATTGATTACATTGCGATGGATATAGCGATTCATATAATTGATGTCCTACGCCTCTTACTCCCTTTATGTAGATAGTTATTTGACTTGTAAGTGTATCCCACATTTTTAAGCTACAGTTCTTTGACCTCTATCTTTGCTGGTAAAATTACATAGACTGAGCATGCATGTCTGATGCACAGAATGGTACCTCTTGTGTTTTTATTCCTATGTGACAAAATGTTGTAGCTTGTTTAGTGTTAATACTTATAAATATTCAACAATTATGCAAATAGGAACGATATGCAATATAACCTCGATTTAACGTATTCCATTTTATTGTAAAACCTTGATGTAACGTTTATATTTATTACTTTTGAACATGGATATTATATCCCTCGTTTAATATTGCCACCTTGCTCTTACCTTCAACATATTCAAATACATTGTTTTCCTTTTTTTTGTCCTCAACATTTACATTTTACGTCCAACTCGTTATATCGCCAAACCACTTAATAACGCAATTTATTTCGCTTGGCAAGTGGTGGCAGTTTTATGAGTATTTGTGTTTACCCTTTTTCTTGTTTAGGAACATTTTGAACGGTAAGTTAAGGAAAATCCCAAGGGAAAGAGTTTATTATTATCTTCAGAAATACGCTTTTATGTCTGGAAAATTCTTTGAAAATGACATTAAATAAGAGGATATTTTTTGTCCTATCGACCATTTTTGAATGGGGATGAGATGCATATCATATTAAATTGCAAACACCCTTTTTTCACCAACCACTATAGGTTTTCTTACTCTCGACTCATTGAATAGACCTGTTAGGAAACGGTAAACATTTTTGATTATCCACTAGTAGGTAAAACCCTGGACGTTTTTTTAATTTTCAATTATTCTCATTATGACGTCAAGGAAAACAATGCCTAGCGCATCATCTTCCTCTGTGACGTCCTAGTTCATGAACTTTAATTATTCCCAAGAGAAATGTCTGATTTTCTAGATATTATATCTGAACATTTTGAGAAAAAAAGGTTCCCTAAACTCGTTATGGTTAATTGTCATGTTTATTTACTTCTCGTTAGTTAGTTTAGCTTCAAATCGTCAAGACACTCGGAAAACTTCGTGACTTGCCTTACAGCTCGAGTTAGATAAACATGATAACCAACCATAACTTCGATATACCATGGTTATACTTACACACAACCTCCCTCGGTAATGACCTGGTAGCTTCCGATGTCATCGTACTGTACGACGTCATGTGTTGTTCCTTCATACTCAACAGTTAGGATGGCAGAAAAGTGAAATTGACTACAAATAAAATTGAGAAATTATGATTTTTTTTAAGGTTGTACGGTTTGAATAAAATAGATTTTTTTCCTCCTGTGACACATGAGATTTTTTGTTATTTTTAAAATACACCAACTAGTTAAAAATAGTTATGTGCTGTATATCGAGATTTTTTTGCCGCAGTTCAGCCAAGAAAGGGCAAATTTACCATGGCAGCGGATATTAGTACACAACATACAAAATATAGTAATTCCATGTGAATGGCGAAATTGACAATAGGTGAACAAGGGTTTCGTCGGTAATTGGCGAATACTTGACTGGGCAGCAAGAGTTTCCAGGTATACAGTATAACCAATGGACATTGCCAGTTGTGATACATTTTTTGTGCGATACAGCATCCCTTGTGTTACATTTCCTTATGTCTATACATTGATTACTGTCTAAAAAATCTAATTTTCGAAAATAAGTATCTCGGATAACTTGTAAAAAATAACTGTTATTTATAAAAAATGAGGAATATTCCCTTTTCTTTTGGGTTAAAAATTTATATTAATATCAAGTTATGCAAAAAATAAACGTGTTATCAATACTCGTATACAAATCTTAGATTTCCATTGTCTTTTGTTTTGCCAAAATACGATTATCATATTTAAAAATAAATTAATGAAATCGTATAACACACGTAGATAACGTACATACATCTTTCATACGTTAACACAAAATATGCCCTTTTTGCTCAAACTTACACGAAACTATATCAATTTATATATCAAATATACAGGAAACAATATACATTTATATAATCTTAAAAACGTAGCAATATGCAGTTAATTTGGATTAAGATGATGTGTTTTAACATACATGTGTTTAACAAAACTTAGTCCAAAATAAAATTGCATAGCAATCCCTATATCATTAATAGAAAGAGAAGCTCATTAAGACAAAGGAATTTACGCGTTATTGAAAGATAGGACCCAATTTAGATACCATCATACAGTTTTGTATGGGTAATGTATTTTTATACTGGCTTTCATCCTGTCCATATATTATTTATATGATAGGCTGTAAGGAGAACATATTGTCAAATCAAGAACAAAAATCAGATATATTCTTCGTTTCGTACTCATGGTCAAAAGTTGGAAACCTTGTATAAATTTACATCATATGATATAAGGATACACTATTGTCATATCAAGAAAAAAATGGTATATTCCTATTTTCCTACGCATGGTTGAAAATTGGAAACCCTGTATACATAGACATTTTATAATATAAGGTTACAATATTGTCATATCAAGAACAACAATAAGGTATATTTTTATTTTCCTACTGATGCTTGAAAATTGGAAACCCAGTATACATGAATAAGATTTCTATTTATGAACTTACGTTTGGCAGCAGTTGCAGCCTGTATCCCTCTTTCTCCTGGTGTTAGTTCCCTGACTCTCGTTTTGATCAATAGTGATGTTGTCAAATGTTTTTCTTGTCTTAACAGTGCCCACTTGTTTGGTGCTGAGTTGAAGAAAAGACTCGTTGACGAACAGTCCAGGAAATATGTTTTGTTCCTGTTTAGTATTCGAAGCAATTTTACACATATCAATACCAAAAGGGCAGCATTTGGGGTATTTGTTGGGCTTAACAGCACTTACACCTAGGGCAACTAACGATATCACAATGATATACGATGTTACCATGATTTTGGTTGTTTTGTTGGAACGTAAAAAACGAAACGGATTAAACTGGATGAAGATAACGATTTTGTCACCTACAAAAGAAAGACACAAATAGTTTAGTTTCTAGAAAATGTTGTTGTGTTCAGGAAATATTTCTCACACACACACACACGTTATTTCATTGTCAATTTTTAATACCACTACTATACTAAGATCTTCTTTAACTACTGTGTGATATTTCTTTCTTTGTCTTGTTTATGAGTGTATATGAAATCTTATTATGATCCTCAAATTGATAATTTGTTTATGTGTGATTTAGTGGTGTTATGTCTCAAGTGATACTGCAAACTTTTAAATGGATAAAAAATCGTCAGTTATTTGGTTCCGTATATACACATGTGGCCATGATCAAAACGGCTTTATATTGCGTTGAAATTGATTTTGGCAAACTGTATATATCATCAAGATTTAGCGGTGCAATCTCGTGTGTGTGTGTGTGTGTGTGTGTGTTCCTTAATCTTTCAAGATATAATGTAGGTTCTTAGTCCCGAGGCTTGCTGTAAACTTGGTGCCCACAAATATCTCTTTTTAAGTAGTGGCAGAGTGCATAATACACACAATTAATCTAGTTGATTTTAAATTAACTAGTACTCATCTATTTTTTAACACTCGTGTAATTAAGGTGTTTTACGTAACCTTCCCTTCAATTTAGACAATTTTGTATATCTACCAGTTTGGCTCCTAGCATTACCCACAAGTTCTAGAAGGAGGAAACATTTGTTTGGTGTAGTGTAATTCATTTTACAATAACGTGTGTTAGTTAATGTTTCATATGATAAACGCATATAGCGGTTATTTTATGCTATTCAAAAAATGTTTACAGTACTCATAACATGGACTGTCCTCAATATATGAAGGAGATACCATTAATATTACATGTTGTTTGATGATATACGATTTAATGGCTTGTGATTAAAGTCAGAGTATTGACGAAATCAAATTTTGCTTCAAATCAATAATCACGTTGAAATATTCACTCGTGTTGGAATGTAATAATGAATGTATTATTATATTTCTGAAAGTCACAGTGCAAATCAAATGTCATATTAATATGCTTACATACACTATAAATAGTAATTGATTATTTGAATATTTTTTTGAAAATCATTGGTTCCGTTACAATAAATCATAATTTTATTTCCACATTATCATGAATACTAGTTGAGATTGATTTCACAGTGACGTCAGTTACTATCTATGTTATGTAGACATTGAACGTTAGTATTGGACTGGAGTAAAATTCATTAATTTGTGAAGATTCTTTACAACTTTAATATCACATGATGACTGCCAGAGATTTCAGATAAGTAATTTAGACTAAAGCAATTAATAAATATACACTTATATTATTTGTTACTTATATATTTTTATATTAAATTTTACTTTGACAAACAAACCATTCAGTCATCAATCCATTCATTTGTGAAATGTTAGTCACCATTCCTTTATAAAAATTGCAAGATTGGACATTTTTTTAAATTACCAAAAAAGACAAATTATTCCAAAGTTTTGTTTTCCAAAACGCATTTAATGATATCGATATGATCTGATTAAACAAAGTTTTCCATATGTTTCAGAAATATCTTATATACATACCTTTGGACTATGTAGATCTCATTACTACTATGTCACCAATGGCAAACCTGGGTAGAGAACGTAGAAGGCGTGTGTTGCATCCACCTATTACGATACAGGCAGATGTAAACGACTTATATACCCCTGTATGAATTTGTAAATGGTCACGTGAAGATTTTATAGAAACATTGTACTGAGTGTAATTATACGCCTGTGGAAAAATGCCTTGTATATGCACCCGTAATTCAAGCGGATTTACTTTTGTATATGTGACCCAGGTGTTGTGTATAGGGACACGCGTGTACTTTTGTGTTTATCATAAATCTGACAACTTCATTGATATAAATTATCTCCAGAAGCACTAAAAGGAACCCGGGTACTTACGGTTATAAATCGTTTTGAACCTATTTGCTTCATAAATTATGTGTTTATACAACCACTTTCAAATTTTGTTCTGACAGAAATTTGATTTTAGATAGTAATCTACTAAAAGCAACAAAACTACAATACTGTACCAAGCGACTCTGTGCTTTCAAATACTGTATTATGTATAATTGTCGAGATAATTGCTTTATCTTAATATGATATCTTTATTTTTTTCTGAACGACCCATTGGCACTAAGCGAGTCTTATATATGAAGTTGTGTGTGCATTGCAGGCTTGAATTTCCATACCTCCAATCACAACGTCATGACTGACAATATGGGTGTTGATGCGGGGCTCATACAATTAAAAATGTAAAAGCCGTAACTAGATTTCTTTCTTTTAGTTCGAGTTATTTTAGTTCAAATCAACATTAGGAATATATCTCCAGCACACACCCAGACATACACACATGGGAAGATAATAGCAAGGTGGTATAGGACTAGTAGTTAGCCACTGATATGGCAGCTCCTTCGAACTCCTCAAGATTGTATTGATTAATGAATTTGCTAATCATGTTAATTGTATATCTATGTACTGTGAAGTCCATTAGAGTGGCTTATTCTAGCTAGATAGGGCGCTATATCAAATATTGTATACAATTATTATTAATACACTAGTAAGTAACTGTGCTGAAAAAAACATACAAACCAGCCTAGGCTATATTGTTTTCTTACCTTTTCTTACTTGACGTAAGCAAGACACATGTGTAACACCCATGGTAGATAAATATATTCCATATACGTGCGCACGGTTACTTTCAGATTGGAATCTTAATTTTTAAATCCCCGACTAGGAAGTTCGCTGCAAAAAATTGTTTGATTTCAAAATGTTTATGTTGTCTGCGGCTGACGTTCTAAAACGACACGGGTTTTTTCGACGGGACATGTTTTATCAATATAATGTCATTCATTCAGAATTAAAATATCTACCCCCGAAATATAGACGGAAACTGACATAATATCACGGAATCAACACTATTAACAAAGTTTTTACTTATTGCTTCAATTTTTTTTAAAGTTTACCTTCGGTAAATCTAACAACTTCCTTTCTGTCAAAACACATTATTGGTTATTTGTAGAAAATATATAAATTGTTGATAAATGATGTGTATTGTGATGCTTGTCTTTGTGTGCGTTTTCAATATATCCGGTTTCATGTTTGTTACTCAATAGACAGTTTAGTTTATTATCAAAATGAAAACGCAACAGTCACAAATCCTCTGGGTTATCATGAGCATAGCACGGTGATATCCATTATACTTCGTTGGATAGAATACTCGCGAGTATTCAGTTTCTCGGTTCTTTGGTTAAGGACTTTTTCGGTGACCGTGAGGGTAAATGCAAGAAAATCGTGCAACAAGTATTATGTTACTTTACATCATTGTATTGTTACTTATTTACATTATCATATTACTAGTAAGGGGCACGGTAGTCTAGTGGTAGGACACCGGGCTTGTGACCGAAGGGTTGCGGGTTCGAGTCATGGCATGGCACTGTGTTATATCTCTGAGCAAGATACTTTACTCCGTTTGTCCCAGTCTACTCAGCTGTAAATGAGTACATGGTTGGGCAGTGCTACAATTGTTGAATGGTAGCTGTTAGCGCCGAAATGGCAGGTCCGGCTGTATGCTCCCCAGGGAGTTGAGAAAGATATTGGCTGGTTGCAAAGGCCCTATACCCACGGATAATAATTTGTGAACCGCTTTGAGACGATCTACAAACTAGGTTGTGATAAAGCAGTATATAAGAACCTCGAATTATTATTATTATTAATATTATTAGTAAATGCTATAAGTATACAATGTAATGTTACTGGTATCTAGATATTAAATAACAGTATAATTTCTTTAGGTTTTATTATGTTCAATCATGTTTGTATTATGTAATACATTTGTTTTGTGGATAAAACAAAGTTTAAACTAACAGTATCATTTGGGTCAGCACCTACGTTCGGCTCATTGAAATGAAATGATTTTTTTTTATGTTGCTTCATTTTTACGTTATTTGTATTAAGTATATTGTTACCAGAATACAGTTTCATGTAACAATTTTTTAGTATTATGTTACCAATATCCTGTATCATGCAAGGTTTCCTTTATCTAGCATAATTCGGTTAACGATTTTAACGACACGACTCTCCTGAAAGTGATGACGCATTAACTAACATTGACATTTGACAGATATCGTGATGTGCGAAATACCACGTCATTCATGTTGACTGATAAATTATTAGTCTGTATGGGCCACCTGTGAACGTTAAAGGATGAGTACTGATAAGCCCTTTTTAGGGCCCATTGATTTTCCCTCTCTTTATAGAAACAATGTCTTGTTGTATACGATGTAAAAGAGCGCACAGATATGCTTGATCGAAAGTGGTTTTTGGGGCTCCCGACGGTGTAGTTGTGCTATTAGTTGGCTACCATTTTACAATCTGCAAAAACCTTAACCATAATGTTCTATCGAATCGATAGTAATGACATTTTATTTCCATTTGGAATTTGCCATTTGCTATCCCCTGCCTTGTTCCACTCAATCACCCAGGGTATTGTAATGAAGCCTTTTGAGTTTCTGTCCTTGTTCAGTGTACACACTTTTCAATAGGTGTCAAAGGGATTTCTTGAATTAAGCTATTAAGGAATTTTGAAATATTTTTTTCTGACCTCACAAAACAAATTTGGAATATAATCAAGCATTTCACTTTCACACACAAGCGTGAAAATCCTTAATCATATAGTAAAGTAATTGATGAATACATTCCGCAACTTCTGCATCCGAGAATAGAATTAATAGTATTTCTCATTGCTTCAACAATCATTATTATATCATTAATTTGCTATCATTGTACCACTGACATCACAAATGTTACAACAGATATCATATTTATTTACGATAATATACAAACAATCGAAAAATGTATTTTGAAAAAGCAGAAAATGTGTGATACACCATTGATACCTTTAAAAATAAAGGTGGTATGCAAAAATTCTCAAAGCAAATATGTTTAATTATCGTTAATTTACGTGAGTCCATGTCAGTTCCGGACTACATATTGTCCGAAGATAATCATCCGCTTAAAAAAATAATTAATTAATGATGATATGTGTCCTATCAAAATGACGTCACGTTTCAAAACGTCAGATGTCAAAGTATGGAACAATTTGAAATCGATATGATTCATCATTGTCAAATGTATTTCCAAACTGGAGGTAACTGGGTGTGCTTCTTGGGGATAGCGTTGTCACACATAAGTGTTAAAAGTGAGATAATCGTATCGTGTATACGTAGTCATGATAACGTAAGATATGGGTCTACACGGATTTAGAAATGCGTGTTTCGATTTATCTAAATCTGATAACTTAATGTTTGGTCAAGGAACGTAATATGGATTTACGTCACCAGATGTCACATAAATAAATCGGAAAAGGCAAAAAAGATCTGATCTTATCAGGGAGTGCATGTAAGTTATAGTTTGAATTCTTGTAAGTTTCCATTAAGCTATTAACATAACTTGGATTATATTCCACACATTGATTCACCAACCCACTGAAGATCATATATTCATCGACCTGTCATTTCCCAAAATATGATATTCTTCACATTTTTCAAAAAAATCCTCAAACATAATTATGTTGATAATTACTTCATTGTCCTATATATATATAAATGCGATCTTGTTCTACTATCTACTATTAATACCAACAAACACAAACAATTTCTACTTGTGAATATAATGCTGTTACTACTGTTCCTTTTACGTTTTGCTAAACTTAGGTTACATTGATAAATATCTAAATTATATCATATTTCATTAAGTCTTTTAGGATTTCCGATGACCTGCTATGAGATTTTTCAGTGTATAACACATCCTATCTAAACGTAATATGACACGGTGCTTTTCTAACAGAAATCACTGGGGATTTCCAAAGTAGGTCAGTGAAACGGGATTGTAGAGATATTTCATCATAAAACACATTATTGCACCTATTCGTTTTAAAATATCACCAGGAAGCATTGTGCAAGCTAATGCTATTGCTGAAGTGATTAGAATATGATAAAAAATCTGTTGAAACATGGAATATTTTATGGAAGATAAAAAATGTTAAAATATGAAGCAAAAATTCAAGCAACTACGAAACAAGAAGGCATATTTCTATAATTCTACTCTGAGAGATATTCATTTTCATGTAAATTTGCGAGGATGATAGGTTGTAACTCTAAGCATCTAGCCGTAACTAAATCAGAGATATTTAAAGGAACGGCATAAAAAGTCAGGTTTCTCACCTTACTTATATAATTCTCGCGAAAAATCCGATTGAAGTAAAAACGCTTAAAATACACTCGTAAAATATAACTAGAAATAAAAAGTAAGGGAGCTGTTATTTAGAGACTAAGTAAGGCGATTTATTTGAAAATAACAAAAGTAAGAAAGTGCCTCAAAATTTTTACTTGCACAAATTATCTATTCTGACACTAGTATTTCTTGTAACCTGTCCGAGAATAAAAATTTTAGCAACAAACTTACGACCAACCTCGGGGATTGACAAAACAGATGTTTGTAAGCATTAAGATATACGGTATCGGATTCACATATATATGTTACTGTTATTCCGTCTTTGCGTATTGCAGAGTTATCTTCTCTTTTGAGCAGGTTTTGATTGCTACGTCATTGGTTTGTG